GTCAAATTTGACAACATAAGACTTTGCCTTCAATTGATTCAGTGGTAACGTAAGAAAATGTAGGCTCGATTGGAGAGTGTTTGTTGCCATTTTTTAATATTGTATGTCTATGTGGCATTTTTGACATTTCACTTGGAGACGCTCTTGACCATGCACAAACGAAAAATTTGTGAAGTCAACTATAATTAATAAATTTACGTATGTAAAGCCTAGTCATTGGGCTTTATCCAAATAATAGAAGTATGTTAGGATTTATACAAGTAGGACTCTCTATAGACTTTCTATGAACTCTTTGTCATTTCATGTTTTTGATACAATTCCCGCACCAACATATAAAACATTGGGCCAAAAAATATAAGGTGGTGAAAAATTCCACTTTTAAGGGAATCTAATATCTCGCCAATAAATATCAAGAGCTAAAGTCATATTTCTTATTTAAGTAAGAAGCAAATCATTGACAAATGTAAAGAAATCTTTTCAAGATATGTTATGTGTCATATATCTTTTAAAGTCCATGTCCATATTGGATCCACTTGTGAACTTCCCAGATTGGAAATTTAATTTGGGTTGTGGCTTTTGTATTTGCTTAAACGTGAAGTGTTGTCTAAGAATGACGTGCGGCGCATAGCACAATTAAATAGTCCAAAATCCATTGTGTGTGTGTGTGTGTTTTTTTTTTTTTTTTTTTAAAAAAAAACGATATTTTTTATACTAAGAGCATCTTTTGTAACGGGTTCTATTTGGGATTAGAAAAGTGGTAAATATAGTCTATTTTAGAGCTCTCAGAAGAATATTCACAAACACCTGATATGCATAAATCAAGATTCGAAGAACCACACAAAAACATGGATCAAGAACCCTAGAAATGAAGAAGAATTCGTCAAGTGAAGATCAGAGAATGAGGGAGGAAATAGAAGATTCAAGATTGATGAACTGTCAAGTTGTTAAGGTCCTGTTTGGTATCCTACTCAAAAACTTGAATTGTTCTTAAAACTAACTTTTAAGAACATTTCTTAGAAACAGTTTTTTTTAGGTTTCAAAAACGTGTTTGGCATTGAATTTAAAAACTATTTTTGAATCTAAAAATTTGAAAACTTGTTTGGTTTAACTCTTAAAAACAACATTTTTTTTTAAAATTATGTATTTGTTTTAAGATATACAAAACATATGAAATTAAACCTTAAACATACTATTTTGATATTCATGTGCTAATAGAACACATATATGCTCGGTAATCAAATTAAACTTCAAGTCTTAGACAATAAATATTACATTAAAACATTCTAGAAAACCAATAAACTTTGAGACTAATTGTTATTGACGTAATCAAGCCACATTGATCCGGCTATGTGGTCTCTAACATCATTCATAACATTGTCGTCATTCAAATGCATGTTTTCCCCTTCTGAACTTGAACCATCCAAATCAGATGATGAATCACTTTCTGAACTTGAACCAGTGTTGTCCACTTCATTTGAATCCATCCTATATAGACAAACCAATAATTATATTCACTTATGAATGTACAAAGCTAAAAGCTACATTCACTTATGAATGTACAAAACACATATATACTCAGTTCTATGTAGTATGTACTATATACTCAGTTTTCACGAATTAGATGATAAATAAAAAGGCATTTTATGCATGCGAATATCAAACAAAATAAAAGTAGTGTGACCTAAGAGTAACTCATTTACCTCTTCCAAAGACACAGGCATGACAATACGACTTCACGCAAGTCCCTAGTTGAAAAGACAAGGTTAAAGGAAATCTCAAAAGAAAGGGGGCATAGTTTTTGTATTGCAAAAGTCATACAAATTTACCAGAAAAATGAAAGATCAAAACTTAAGTAGCATTCAGTTCTAATTAGCTAAATATGTAATTAACAAGAAGAATAAGGGCAACTCTAAACCAGCAAGTCTCTTGCTTTGCGAGGGACATAAACCCCATGAATAACAAAAAAGATTGGAACTTTGCCTTCCTATTCATTGTTCTTCATTCACCAAATTAACCCTTAATTTGTAACAGATTAACAAATTTAAAAACAAGATATTCACAAAGGCTCCTATTGAAATTTGTAGGTAAGTAGATGCTATTTGTACCAGAGAATCCAATGTATCTAATGAATAAAAACAAGATATTCACAAAGGCTCCTATTGAAATTTGTCAAGTTCGGTTAGATGGGAAGTGCTTCGACCACTGCACTCATCCCATCTTTCCAGCCTTTGAACATGATGAATCAAATGGAGAATCAAAGCAAATCAAGGGTTCCAAAAAACGGAAGGGTACATGAGAACACAAGTGAAAATCACTACCCTTGTTGAATTCCAAGGGTTAAAATCCAAATTGCACAATTTTCGACACCAAAATGAAAACGAGACTTCTCTTATTAAATCCAAACAGGAACCATTGCTAAAATACACAACGTAATTCAAAGACCAAGTCTATCATTAAAGCATTCACAGAGAAAATATGAAAAATTCATTTTTGAACTCAAACATTTGACATTTTGGCTACTCCAAAGACCCATCCAATGAAACAAGTATATCACATAATATTACTTGCTACATATATGTAGCAAATGTCAGAAATCCATTCTATGAAACAAACAACCATAAGAATTTTCTAACCAACCACATATTTACCATGTCAGCATAAAAAAAGGATCTGAACCCATCAGCTAATTCGTGCCATCTATTGATTCAAGATAGCAAAAATCCAGCTTAAAAAGATGATTTTCAAGCTATTAGCCATCTAATAAACAAACCCCACTTCCAAAAACTCCTCAAAAGTTGAGTTTGAATGGAAAAACGGATAGCAAATTATGACCATCAGACTAACAAAGAATGGATTTTTTAATACACTTTTCATGTAAATTAATCACAACCAGATGGTGGTTCCCAATCCTTTTCTGAAACTAACTAGGTAAAATGCGAGTGATGAACAATCAAAGCATTAAAGCATGGTTTTATTTTTTATTTATTTTTATAATATATATATATATATATATATATATATCTATATATCAAAGAACAGAGAAGATGAGGAGGAGGACCTTGTTCGATGATCGGATTCTTGAGCTAATAAGGCTTGTCCAGAACGCTCTTCACCGAGAACGAAAATGACTGAGTCCGATTCGATGTCGTTGTGAACAAAAGCTTGTATTTGTTCTTCCTGGAACCAAAATCGATCAGTTTGGATTGCGATTTGCAATGCCACACTATCTTTGCTCCGCTGCTCGGAATATATATACAATACATAAATGAATCACACCAATTAGACAGATAAACTCAATTTCTCACAACCCAACACATAAAGCACATAAATCCAACTTTCTGATCATTTTCTCCATTCCGAGGAACCAAACAAAATAGTAAGAGAGAGACCCATTACCTTGATTTTTCCTGACAGTGAAGAGAATGGCCCAGTCTTGTCCCCAACCAACCACTTAGAGATTCGAAGCTTAAAGCTATTTGCCGGAACCTTCACCCTACTGGTCGGAATCTCTTGGTCGTTCGTGGTTGGTGAGGTGGCAGGCTTGTTCGTGGTCTGCGCGGCGCAGGTCACTCAGACCTCCATTACGATCTGAATCTGTGAAAAAAAAAAAAAAAATACTAAAACCTGACTTTTGTTGTTTTCAAATTATAATGGGCTGTTCTTAAATTTTTTTTGAGTCCAGTTTTGCAAAATGGGCTTACCAAACGGGTTTTTTTACTTTAAAACTTAAAAATTGTTTTTGAGTTAAAAACTTTGAACTCAAATCCAATACCAAACAGGCCCTAAGCTTTTCCGTCGATTGATACCATGTAAACATAGATGAAGGTATCTTGCGGAGAAAGATATTCAAGCAAGAAAAAGAAAGAGAGATTGAGAGAAAGAGATTTAACAAAGAAAGTGGATCTTTTACTAATGATTTCAGAATGATTACAAGGTAGTTATCTACAAGGATATATATCCAAACTACATTGCTTACAAACTAAGCTAACTTTTAGCTCTCAGATTAATAACACTTGTCTAACTAACCATAGGATTAAAAGATCAATACTGTTAACATTCCCCTCAATCACATGATTGGATTTTCCAAGCGTGGGATTGAAACTGTGAGTTTGAAACAAAGGAGCAGACAATCCCTTAGTAAATATATCTGCAAACTGCTCATTAGAAGCTACAAAATGCACCTTGCAGAATCTTCTTACAACCCTTTCTCTAACAAATTGAATATCAATCTCGATATGTTTAGTGCGTTGATGCAGAATGGGATAATAAGCAAGAGCTATAAAAGAAAGGTTGTCATAGAACACAGTATGTGGAGAAGAAACATCAATATGCATAAAAGCAAGAAGTTGTTTAATTCATTCTATCTCAATTGTAGTAGAAGAAAGTGCTCTATAATCAGCTTCAGTGGATAATCTAGACACAGTATTTTGCTTCTTTGTAGACCGTGATATAGGATTAGATCCTAGAAAACAACTAATCCAGTTGTAGACCTACTATCATTATGGTCACCTGCCCAATTAGCATCACTAAAAGCATACAAATCCAATTCCCCTTTGCCAAATCAATCCTAAAATTCTGGGTGCCCTTCAAATATCTAAATATCTTTTTTAGAGCAACAAAGTGTGATTACGTAGGACAATGTATGAATTGACAAACTTGATGCAAAAAAAAAAAAAAAACAAAATATTGGGTCTAGTATATAAGGCTGGATTAAATACTTCTATATAAGACTGGATTATTAAATGGTTTCCCATCACCCTTTAACAATTTGTTATAAGGCAAGCATGGGTTGCACAAGGTTCAACAATTTGTTAGTCAATGGTTTCCCATTCATCTTTTCAAGATATATGTTTCGTCACATATCTTCTAAAGTATTCGAGTTGGGAATACTTTTGAACTTTAATAGTGTCAACATTTAAGCCAATTGTTGGTTCGGTGATCTTTGTCTATATATAGCAGGAAGACGAGAGATGCAAACCAAATAAGGAAATTGAGAGTTAATGATACCGAAAACGGAAAACATGACAGAGAAGCTCCTTTTGTTTTACCTTTTATTTATGTGCGTAGCAAAAGCTAGTACCTCAACCCCATTCCCAATTCACAACCAAACTCAAATTCCAAAACATTTTGTGCTTATACATGGTGCTTGTTATGGAGCATGGAGTTGGTATAAGGTGGCGACTCTCCTGAAGAACTCAGGTCACAATGTCACAGCTCTAGACTTGGGAGCATCCGGGATCAACCCGATCCAGGTAGAGCAACTCCCTTCGTTATCGGAAAACGTCGACCCCTTGACTAAGGTCATGGTGTCTCTACCACCAAATGAAAAGGTTATCCTTGTGGCTCATAGCTTGGGTGGAGCCGTCATATCTATTTTCATGGAGAGGTTCCCTCAGAAAATTGCTGCTGCGGTATATGTTACGGCTGTCATGTCTGGTCCTACTCTCAATTACTCAACTATATTTGCAGAGGTAATGAATTTCATATATACTAAAAGTTCTGCTATATACAGAAATCTCAATAAACTGATTGTTCTCTAAAATAATAACCTTGGTTGATAATAAAATCTTCTGATCCCAACTCAGGTCAATGTATTAAGAAAATAATCTCACTAAATGCATAAGATAATAAATTTTCTCAAAATCCAGTGAATATATAAAATAATATTAATAAAATACATGAAAGAAAAAATTCATAATACATACTTAGGAAGGATCATTTCTCTAGTCATATTCACTTTCTCTTGATATTGGAGAAACCCACTCATACAATACTTTTTCTAGCTCGGAATATTTTGCTGGTTTGTGCCTTAACATTCTTGTTTTTTTTCATCTCATTCCACACATACTATGTTGAACTTTTAAGAGTGTTTGATATTGGGATTGGTTGATAGAGATTAACTGATACTTTTGTTGAATCCATTGTTTGCCAATCTTTTAATTAACAAGAAGCAAGATTGTAACGCCCCGTCCCGAAATATTTATATTCAAGAAATAATTTTGATGATAGGCCCAATTCAATACTCTTGTTTATTTTACTACCATTAAACACTATTCTTTATTTGAATTCCTAATTACTCACAAAATCTACAAATAAAATCTACAACCAAAATTTATTTACCAAAAACATAAGACTTAATTTTATCTTATTCATCGAATTACTTTTCTTAAATCAACTTCCCAACAAATATAATTCTCGATTATTTAAGGCTGCATCTAATCCTTGTTAGACTGCCTACGTACCCTTGAGTGGGATCAAGCTTTTCGTAGTTCACCATTTCAATAAACTCCTATCACCACTGCAAGTCATTACTACATACATGTAAACATAGTAACCCTTATGAGACGTATAGGCACATAGCTTCAGAACGTGAATCGTCAAATTAATTGGTTTTGGTTTTAGTGTAGTAATGCATATAGATATGTATACTTATTAAGACACCCATTTTAACATTCAAACAAAGAAAGTGATGTATAAACATGAAGCACTTAATCAAAATAGTAATCACACCGAATCAGATTTGTCAAACTATTGATATCTATACCAGCCCTAACCTTACCAACCAATATAATTTAAATACAATCACAATCAATTACTATATGTTTACCCCTTTCAAATTCTATATCAAAACACATAGAGCCAATAGTACATATAAAAGCAATAATCTAACTATGGTTTGATAATAATTAGATGGACTAATTGTAGTAAATAAAATAGTTTGTCTACTTCAAAACCAATCCGATTGGATTGTAAAAATTGAGTGAGGAAGATATGCATGTACTTTGATACACATGTAGATAAAACCACCTGCATATATTTTCTCTTTATGAGTAATCATGTATTTAGTATACAATCATTTGGAAAACAAAGCTTCCCGAAGTGGACTAGTCGAAATACTTTGCCAAGGGTAGTAGTACAACAATATAGCTTTCTGCAAAATACAAGTCTTCAGAAACAGGGCAATTAAACAAAACATCCCTTTCGGCTTTTATACCATTCTAGGGTTTAGGCATTTGCATATATAAAATACTAGTTTTGCAAACAATAGCTAATCCATGACAGATTAACCGAAAGAAATATTAATAAGAATTAGCTAAACGAAAAAGATAAAGAGAGTTAAGAATATGAACCCATACTGCAGGTTGACATCCCAAACGAGAAGGATACGAATATCTTCAACTCCCTTCTTTCTGCTCCTAATTAATTTCTAATCCCTTCCTTCCATTTGTCCTTTCTTCTCTTTATTTTGGGTCGACTAATGGGGAGAAACCAATAAGCTCGTAAGGCTGCTCGTCAGGACTATCTGCACATCCTTTCCCAGTTCTTTCTCTTTTCCCTGGTAGTGTTTTGGTGATCAGACTCGCAGGAATCGTTCCTCATGGGTGTCCTCTCCAATCACCCCCAAAAAAAAATTCAAGAGAAGAGGGAGTCCTCCCCTGGAAGGGAAGCGAGTTCTTCTCCCCCATCTTTTTCTCGATCCTTCTCCTCTGGAGCCTTCCAAATTAATGACAAAATGACTATTTTGTCCCTGAATTCAATCGTTAATAACTTCTTTGTTTTGATCCCGTTTAACGAATGGTTTTCACCTACACTCGTGGAATCGTCCTCTATCCAGATATGTCAAGAAATATGATAAAATATATAAGGATGAAAATACGCCCTCATAAAATTTCGTTTAATCAACTAGGGGCATTTTCATCTTTCCCCTTATCGATAAATGTTTTCCATATAATCATATATTTTAACATTTTAGGGTATTACAAAGATGCTCATTTTTAAACTCGCACATGCTTTCCTTGTTTCATCAGTCAATTTAGATTTTTTTATTCCTTTCAAATGAGATGTCATAGGTGAACAAGTAGTTGTGATAATTGTAATAATTAGGAGTTAAGAGATTACTTATATATCAGGAGAAATCAAGTTCTCATCACTTATTTTTTTTATTATATTGATTGAAATTTTATTTCTTTTTAATTTTTTATCAGGTCCTTTGGAATTTATCCACGTTATTATTTCAATAATAAAATATTTACATGCAAACATTTTTAAATGTTATAATTAAAAATTATTTAATTTTTTTGAAATATATTCATTTAGTGTTGGAAACGTTACATTTGATATATTGAATTTGTCTTTATTTTTTAATTTGTAGCCCTTTTTTTTTAATTAACTAACAAATAATTAGGTTACCAAAAGATTTGATTTTATGGACTCTCAATTTAGATATGATAACGAGACCAACAACCTTGCAACCTCCCTTCTCTTTGGGCCTAAGGTCTTGGCGACGAGCTTTTTGCAGCTCTCACCACAACAGGTAAGTCCTAAACTTAATTAAAGTGTGTCTATTGCAGTATATAGGATCCCTATCGTGTTCTCTTAATTAACACACACCAGAAAGATAAAGTATAGTGTAAGAGTAGAGCGCTAATAGTTCCCAAATATAAGTTGGGGATTTCCAATATTGGTTAGCTAATATTTTTTGGTTTTATATTTGTAATGGACAGGATTTAAGTCTAACGTTGTCGGTGGTGAGATTTTCTCCTTTGTATAATTATGATCTAATAAAACTCACGGAGGAGAATTATGGATCAGTTCGTAGAGACCGTGCGATAGTGTTGGATGTGCAAAATTACATGATCAATAACAATCCCCCAAATGAAGTGAAAGTGATAATCGGTTCTGATCACTTGGTGATGCTCTCTAAACCTGTGAAGTTGTTCTTCCATCTCCAAAATATTGCTGAGAAATATGCATAAAGACATGAATGGACATGATTAATTCAGGCATGCTAGCCTGCGTTGCATGCACCATGGTACCAAATGCAAATGAATAAATGAGAGTTATTTTCAGCTACCAATAATTACGTGTCCATGAACTTTAGTTCAAGAGGCATGACACACTGAATCCCAAGTTCTTATCTCTCGTCTCTTCAAGACCCTTGGCTTGTCCTCATCAAGTTTGATAGCTCAACAACTTAATCAACTACCGTATAGTAATTCAAAAGGTATCACTTAATTTCATAGTAAGAAAATCAGAACAAAATAATTCCTGTAAACAACGTTGGGTTGAGACAACTAAAGTGTTGAGAATTAAGCTTCTCATTAATTTGAGTTTAACCTGCAGATGTTTGAATCCTGCAGATGAAGAAGAAGATGAAGATACTTTCTTTGTTTAGTAGTAGCCGTTAGGCTTAAATTTTGTAACGGCTAGTTTAGCCCTCTGTTTTAGGAAAGATGAACATCTATGTTTTATTCTTATCTCTATTGTACTGTGTTGCTGGATCCATTCTAAGTGGAAGGATCCTAGTGCCTGATGCACTAGAGAGCTGAGATTGGTTTCTGAAATCAGACCTATCCAAGCCTCTATATGCTGGGGTTTTTTCTTGTTAAAGAAATATGCAAAGAGAAATCTGCTTCACTTTCCCTCGCCTCCCTGCATTTCGTTTCATCCTTGAATCCCAATTTTTTCTCTAAAAGTTAAAAACCTTTTTTAAGACAAAATCGACCATGGCTTGGTACCATTTCAACATGGTATCAGAGCTCTAGGTTTGATTCTGAAGAAGGGTGTGATACTGTGAGTGAAATCTAGCTTCGAAGAAAACCCAGAAAACCTTAAAGGTGGTTCCTTTGTTGATTGGTTCACTGATAGTCACTAAGAAATGGTGGGATCGAGTTCTTCCGGTGGAGATTTACGAGCTCCATAGTTTGATGGTGCAAACTACGATTTTTGGCCTGTCAAAATGGAAACTATCCTTATAGCACATGATCTATGGGATGTGGTAGAACTCGGAGTACAACTGCAGGAGATTCCTGAGAAGGAAGAAGGCTCTGGAGATGAAGAAAGTGAGGCTGAGCAAGTTCCAATGAAAGCACCCACTATCTCCAGAGAAGACAAAATCAAAAACGCCAAGGTGCTGAGTTTCATTTAGGGAGCTATAACAGATGATCTTTTCCTTCGCATCAGAAATGAGAAGACTGCTAAAGAAGCTTGGGAAATTCTGAGAAGAGAGTTCAGAGGAGACAAAAAGGTAAGAGCTGTTAAACTGCAAGCCATTAGAGCTGAGTTTGAATATCTGAGAATGCATGATAGTGAAGCCTTAGATGACTACTTGGCTAGGTTCTTTGAGATAGTGAATAATCTAAAATCACTAGGTGAGGATGTGCCTGAGAAAAGGATTGTGCAGAAGCTATTAATGAATCTAAGCAAAAGATACAAGTCCATAATGTCTGTAATAGAGGAGACTAGAGATCTGGATGTTATAAGGGTTGATGAAGTCTTAGCCTCGGTTAAAATCTATGACAAAAGGTAGGACTTACATGATGAGAGGGACAAAGTTACTGGTACTGAGAGGGCATTTAGTAGCCTAAAAATTGGAGGTAGTATTCATGGCAGCACTAGTGGAAATTATAAAGGTGCACAGAGTAAACCAAACGATAAATGGCAACAAAACAAGAAAAGGAGAAATTGGTCACAAAGCAGCAATTGGAATGGTAATGGTAACTCCAGTTGGAACAACCAAAATGGTGGAAATTGGGGCAACAGAAACACTTTCCAAAGCAGACAAGGAAGCAGCAGTCAAGGTGCCGTGAAGCCACAATGTCAAACTTGTGATAAATATCATTTTGGCATTTGTAGGTATAAGGGAAAACCTAAATGTGGCAAGTGTAGCAGATTTGGCCACATTGCAAAGGATTGTGACAATAACAAACAGGTTGCTAACTATGCAAAGGAGGAAGATTTAACCACTGGTACAATGTTCTATGCTTGTCACTCTGCATTAATAACTCAGGATAGATCTGTGTGGTTTGTGGATAGTGTTTGCAGCAACCACATGACCTCTCAAGAATCTCTACTGTTGAATCTTAACAGATCAATTACTTGTAAAGTTAAAATGGGGACTGGTGACTTGGTTCAAGCAACAGGCAAGGGAACACTCATAGTGAATACAAAGCATGGGAAGAGATATATCAATGAAGTTCTGTTGGTTCTAGGACTAGATGAAAATCTGTTGAGTGTTGGTCAAATGATGGAGCATGGCTATTATGTTTTGTTTGGTGGTAACATGGCTGTAATCTTTGATGACAGCAACCTTGAGAATGTGGTAGCCAAGGTAGTTATGGCAGGGAATAGATGCTTTCCATTGTCCCTAGAATCTATAAATCCAATAGCTAGAAAAGTCTTAATCGGAGAAGAGTCATGGATCTGGCATAAAAGATTTGGTCATTTGAACTTTAGCAATCTGAAAAGGATGCAGAGAGAAGGAATGGTGCTTGGTTTACCTGAGCTATCTGAGATGAAGGAAATATGTGAGAGTTGTGTTTCTGGGAAGATGCACAGAGAACCATTTGATAAAGAAAAAGTATGGAGAGCAAGCCATCCACTAAAATTGGTGCATACTGATGTCTGTGGACCAATGCAGAATGATTCCATTGGTGGCAACAGGTACTTCATCACATTCATTGATGATTTCTCAAGGATGTGTTGGGTGTATTTCCTCAAAAACAAATCTGATGTGTTCAATGTGTTTAAAAAATTTAAAGCCTTTGTGGAGCTATAAAGTGGTTTCAAGCTTAAGAAGCTAAGAAGTGACAGAGGAGGTGAATATACCTCTCATGAATTCTTAGATTTCTGTTCTAACACTAGAATGAAGAGGCAATTAACAGTTGCATACTCCCCTCAGCAAAATGGAGTTGCTGAGAGAAGAAATAGAACCATTGGTGAAATGGCAAGGTCAATGATGGTTGAGAAGAACATTCCTGTGGTTTTTTGGGCTAAAGCAGTTGGAACTGCAGTATACTTGCAGAATAGATGTCCTACAATCTCAGTGAAGGACAAGACTCCATTTGAAGCTTTCACAGGTAGAAAACCTGGTATAAAACATTTGAGAAAGTTTGGATGCATATGCTATACACACGTACCTTCACAACTAAGAAAAAAGTTTGATGAAAAGGCTAGCAAAGGTATTTTTATGGGGTATGGAAGCTGTGAAAAAGGGTATAGAGTTTATAACCTGCAGTCAAAGAAAATCATCCTCTCCAGAAGTGTTGTATTCAATGAGGATCAGTGTTGGAATTGGGAATACAAGCAAGTTGAAACACTTGCAACGCCTTTCGTTTTTGAGAATCAAGTGTATGATGGTGATGTGCAGGAAAGTCCAAATGAGACTCAGTTTGAAATTGCTCAGAGTTCTCAACCAAGTTCGAGTTCTAGCAGCGCATCAACTAGCAGAAGTGAATCACTGAGTCAAAACTCAACTCCTAGTTCAACACCTGTAAAACTAAGGAGTCTAGAAGAGATATATACTAGATGTCACATGAGTTTTGTTGAACCAGAAAATTATCAAGAAGTAGCACAAGATCAAGCATGGCAAGAAGCTATGAATGCAGAAATTGATACGATTGAAAAGAATGACACTTGGCAGCTAGTTGATAGGCCTATGGATAAACCTGTTATTGGGGTGAGATGGGTGTTCAAAACTAAATTAAATCTAGATGGACCAATTCAGAAGCACAAGGCTAGACTGGTGGCAAAAGGGTATGCACAAAAGCTTGGAATTGATTACAATGAGACCTTTGCACCAGTGGCAAGGTTGGATACAATTCGAACTCTTGTTGCTTTAGCTGCACAAAAAGGGTGGAAATTATTCCAACTAGATGTGAAATCTGCGTTTTTAAATGGCATACTTGAAGAAGAGGTATACATTGAACAACCTGAAGGTTTTGAAGTTAAAAATGCTTGCCATAAGGTCTACAAATTGAAAAAGGCCTTGTATGGTTTAAAACAGGCACCTAGAGCCTGGTATAGTGAGATTGATGCATATCTCACTAGTTGCAAGTTCATCAGGAGCACAAGTGAAGCTACTTTGTACATCAAGTTTGATGAAGAATGTGGTATACTCATTGTCTCAATATATGTTGATGACATTGTGTATACTGGAAGCAGCAAAACACTACTCAGTGAGTTCAAAATGGAGATGATGCAGAAGTATGAGATGTCTGATTTAGGCTTACTTCATCATTTCTTAGGAATGGGAATCTTACAAACTGAAAATGGTGTATTTAGTCATCAAAGCAAGTATGCAAAATCATTACTTGGGAAGTTTGGCCTTGAAGACTATAAACCTATCTCTATTCCTCTACCAACTGGTGAAAAACTCAAGAAGATAGATGGAAGTGAATTGGCAGATGAAAGCATATACAGGAAAATTGTGGGCAGCCTTCTGTATTTGACAACAACTAGACCAGATTTGATGTATGCTGCTAGTTTGTTGTCAAGGTTCATGAATAATCCTACAAAGAAACATTTTGGAGTTGCAAGGAGGGTTCTGAGATATGTGCAAGGCACACTGAGCTATGGAATTGAGTATACAAAAGATAGAGATGCAATTCTTGTAGGGTTTTGTGCTGTAGACTGGGCATGTAGTAAGGATGATTGCAGGAGCACCTTAGGATATGCATTCAGCTTTGGTAGTGGGGTTTTCTCTTGGGCTTCTGTGAAGCTAAACACAATTGCTTTATCAACTGTAGAGGTCGAGTATGTCTCAGCAGCAGAAGCCACGGTCCATGCTATTTGGCTAAGATTTGTGCTCGATGATTTTGGGGAAATGCAAGTTGATGCAACACCTTTATTTTGTGACAACATGTCTGCAATCTCCATGGTGAAAAATCCTGTCTTTCACCAGAAAACTAGACACATAAACAGGAAGTTCCACTTTATAAGGGAAGCACTACAAGAATGGGTGATTAATGTGAAGTTCTGCAGAAGTGAAGAACAACTTGCAGACATTTTTACCAAGGCATTGCGTAGAGAGAGATTCAACTACTTAAGACTCAAACTTGGAGTGAAATCAGTGAGCAGCTTAGGATAGGCTGTTGAGAATTAAGCTTCTCACTAATTTGAGTTTAACCTGCAGATGTTTGAATCCTGCAGATGAAGAGACTTTCCTTGTTTAGTAGTACCCGTTAGGCTTAAATTTTGTAACGGCTAGTTTAGCCCTCTGTTTTAGGAAAGATGAACAATTGTGTTTTATTCTTATCTCTATTGTACTGTATTGCTGGATCCATTCCAAGTGGAAGGATCCCAGCGCCTGATGCACCAGAGGGTTGAGATTGGTTTATGAAATCAGACCTATCCAAGCCTCTATATGCTAGGGTTTTTTCTTGTTAAAGAAATATGCAAAGAGAAATATGCTTCACTCTCCCTTGCCTCCCTGCATTTCGTTTCATCCTTGAATCCCAGTTTTTTCTCTAAAAGTTAAAACCTTTTTTTAAAACAAAATCGACCATGGCCTGGTACCATTTCAACATAAAGAACGGCATCTGCCCTAGACGGCTGTATGTAGGCGTTTAAACCAATAATAGTCATAGTACTTTTGCAATACTAGTATACAAACGTCACTACCTGCCGGCTCTCGACGGCATTTTATTATATAAATGGTGTTTATTTTGATCAAGATAAACAAACTAGACGAAATCTAAGAATTTTATATATATATTATGTACTGTGTAAGATTAAAAATCTAATAAAACCAAAGAATATAATGTTTGAAAAGAATACTACGGGCAACTTAGAGTGGGGAATATTGTTAGATTTCTAATGCTATCATTGCATCCACCAAAACCTGAATAATTTTCCTTATTGAATGAGAAAAATAAATTGAGAATTTAGAAAAAATTCATAATTTATAAATTAGCATGAATCATATTTTTTATTTGGATTTATAAATATAGAAATATAGAAATTATCATTTCCAAATTTTTATGAGTAAGAGTTTAACAATAAAAAATACAAAAAAGCTGATCAACCAAGAGTTGCCACCACCACATACCACTGTTGCGGCCACACTACCACTACCACCACACGCCGCTATCACCATCGCCACCACTATCCACACCACAGTCACTACCACCATTACTAGCATATCTCCTAACTACAATCTGTTTTTTTTTTTTTTTAGTTAAATTAACTACTGTCTCTCATTTATATATTAATGACTTTATTTTATACACACATTGCATTTCGTATTTAAATTTCATTATTCTTTTAAGTGAGCCGAACAATAAAATTCACAAGCTTTATAAAAATGAAATTCTGTCATTTTGGGAAATCTTATATTTATTTATCCAAACGCAATGTTGATTTAACTTATTCACTGACTTTTCTAGAATTGCTATCATCGAATATACTAAGCTTAATCTTAATCTTTTTAATAAAAATACATATATTTTCACGACTACAAACGCAATAGAAAGACAAAATGCAGATCGAGTGATCAAATGAAGGATTTCATGAATATAAAAGCAAGCCTAGACCAAATGCAGCTATGCCAAGGAAACAGAAGCTAAAATAGTTGAGAAACATGTCTTCCTCATCCCCAAACCCAGATGCCTATAAGAAGCATTTTGTGCTGATTCACGGAGCCTGTCACGGGGCATGGTGCTGGTATAAGTTATCAGCTTTACTAACCTCTGCAGGTTACAATGTCACAGCCCTAGACCTAGCAGCATGTGGGATCCACCCAAAGGAGGTAAAATATGTACAGACCTTCTCGGATTATGCTGAGCCATTGATCAAATTCATGGAGACTCTCCCACCAGAGGAGAGCGTTATCCTGGTAGGCCACAGCTTCGGTGGGCCCGTCATATCTATTGCCATGGAGATGTTTCCTGAGAAAATAGTGGCGGCCGTTTTCGCCACCGCTTTCATGCCTAGTCCTACTTTCAGTTACCCTCATATAGTAGAGAAGGTAATAAATTCATGAACTCGAAGCGCGCGTCTCAGTTGACTTATCTGGTGAATACTAACAACTAATATCCTTGAAAATATATATTGTTCAGATGTTTGCTGGTGTGGATTTGATGGACTATTACCATAGATTTGATAATGGACCCAACAATCCTCCAACTTCGGCAATTTTCGGGCCTAAGATCATGTCGTTACTATTGTACCAGCTCTCGCCACCAGAGGTAAAGTCTTAACAAAAAAAAAAAAAAAAAAAAAAAAAAACGTAAAAACCGATCGTATGCCCGTGTGCTTTTTATATCGAGAAATTATTTCTGCACACATTTTTGACCTATGCATAGAAGGGTGCGCAGAAATCAGTTTCCTCTTGTACATATAACCATCCCTTCGTATCATGCATGTGAGCTTTATATTTCAATTGGTTGGCTAACAATATTGTTCATTTTCTCTTTTCTTTCTTGGTTGATGATTTACTAATTAATTAACAGGATGTAAAACTAGCATCATCCTTGTTGAGGTTCTGTCCTGTACTGATTCATGATGAAATAAAACTCACCAATGAGAAATATGGATCAGTTCGTAAAGTGTTTATTGTGTGCGACCAAGATCATATAATACCGGAGAAATGGCAGAGGTGGATGATCGATGAAAATCCACCGAATGAAGTGCAGGTGATAAATGGTGCTGATCACATGGTAATGTTCTCTAAACCGCAGGAGTTGTTCTCCTGCCTCCAGGCGATTGCTGTATCATCATCATTCTAGAATGGAAATCCGGAACGCTAGCCTTTTCATGTGAAGCATCATTAATGAATAATTTTGTAGAAGAAGAAGAAGACACTTAATTGATGTAATTAATCATCAGAGGATGAATATTCTACGTCTTTTTTATTAAGTGGCATGTACATGTCACCATTCGGTATGTTGGATGCCATGGACAAATGACATCATTTGATGTATTGAGTTGTTAGCTTTGTTAGAAGTTTGTTAGGTTGTAAAGTGTGTTTGTATATATAGCTAGACCTATTGTATTAGAAATATCAATCAATTGATCGAGAGCTTCATTTTCCTCTACAATCTCTCTCTTGTTTCTCTCTCTATCATCTTCTTCAGCAGACTGTACCAATCTTTCATCTTTTGCAATGTAGTTAACGTTTTTTAGCATAAATTATGACTTATATTGAATGATTTCATTACCAATTGCACTGAGGTATTTTGTGATAAAACGTAACATCTGTCGAAATATGTAAGTGGTTAAGTTGAGATTTCGTTGTGATTAGTAGCGAGTCTGGACCGATTTTTGAAATCTTGACATGCTAATCGTTATGTTGAATTGAGGGGTAACAGATTTTGATTGTGTTTTCTTGTATTTTTTTTTTTTTTTTTTTTTAATGTCTTATAAGTTGTAGTAGTTGTATTTATCAATTTCACATGTTTGTTGCAATGTGAGATTTGATTACACGTTTCGATTGAATTTAATTTGATGTTGTTTTGGGACTGTACGGGTGTATATTGCACTTGAATTGGAAAAAAAAAAGGCCAACAGCGCTCGCTTCCCTAGGGTTCTGTGGCTGCGGAGTCGGCGTCTGATTTCTCTGCCGGTGTCAAACAGTTCGAGGGACGATCTAGTTTGCTCTGGAAGGTGTGGACGATCTGATTCATCTTGGTTTGCTCTAAGATTCTACCGTTGTCGTCTTCCTTGTTGGTTCTACTGGCGTCGATCTGTCATTGATCTATCGTACGATATTAGTTGGATTGAATTCACCATGACGATTTGCCCTTGGTCTTTCTTGGCTACGCTGGAGAAAGTCCCGTCTCCTCCAAATCCTGTTTCCAAAGCTTGGACTTGTGCCTCCATTCTCTCTGATTCGGTGGAATCAACCGTGCACCTCAGTCAGCTTCCTGCTCCTTTGGTATGTCGAGATAAAACCTATGTGAAGATTAGTGAGGATGTTTATCAAAATCAGTTGCAATCGTTCAAAACAAATCTTATTGGGCGTCTTCTGCTCAAAAAGGGTTCCACTCCGGTTAAAACTGAAGCCTTGAGATCATCATTGGCTGCGTTTTGGCGTCCAGTTGCCTTATGGCATCTTGTACCATTGGGTAAGGGTTTTTTTGACATCCATTTCAGTACCAAAGATGATATGTAACATGTGTGGGGAGGAGGTACTCGCACTCTGACTAATGGGTTATTTTGTCTCTCTCAATGGAAGCTTGATTTCAAACCAGGGAACACTCTAGCCCAGACTCATGCTCAAGTCTGGATTAAAATTTATGGACTGAGCCAAGAATATTGGCATCCACAACATTTAATGGAATTTGCTCATGTGGTAGGCACTCCATTACAATTGGATAGAGCAACAAAAGAGCGATTGTATGGATATTGTGCAAGGGTTTTGGTGGATGTGGACCTAGCATGCGATCTCCCTCATTCTATCACGGTTGAATGAGATAGTCATGGGTTTCCAATGGATATTATTTATGAAAACTTGCAACCTAAATGTAGCAATTGTGGTGTGGTCGGTCACTTGTTTGTTAATTGCCGATATGTACGTAAGGTGGATGATCAAAGGGGACGTTCCCCTAGTAGAACAGGCAGATCAAAAGCTATATCCAAAATCCATTTTCGACAGAAGTATCGCCCGATTCACGATACGGCAACTCTTGATGTTAACAATGGTAAGCTTGATGCTGTCGCAATGGCAGATCATGCTATAGATGCAGCTATCATTCATGAATTGGAAAAAAAATGCGAATGTAGTTATTTCTCATGATGACGTATTTGTCCAACAAATAAATGAATATGTGGTTGTTTCTCATGATGTTGCTTTTGTTGAGAATCAATGTCAAGCCCAAAACCATAAGTAATCCACAACCCAATCTAAAGTCCAAGCCCATATCTAGTTTGATGATGTAATTGCTTACAATTGCAAAGTTAGGTAATGTTAGGTATGGTTGAGTGGAAAAAATTAGGTGCAATTAATGGGTTTTGTGTGGTACTAAATAATCTTAGTTTAATTAAGTGTGTGGTGTAGCTTTCATTTGGTTTGCTATAAATACCCAAGTCCCCAAGCATTGTAGATCATCCAAGGAAAAACAAAGCCTAGAGCTAAATAAGAAAAGCTTTGCTAATTAGTTTGTTTTGTGAGCTTTCTTTAAGAGTGTGCTCTATTTTCTTCTTCTTGGGATCATTAGAGTTATCTTGGATACTCTTCTTATTCAACAATTGGTATCAGAGCCAAGTCGGTCAGGGATCGTTCTTGGT